GGCCAGTGTAGGAGGTGCCATAGCACAGCCGTCCTTTAATGTAAGTGACCAAGTGACTTCTGAGCTCAGGCTGATCCAGCCAAGCAGCTATTTTCCAATAACTGGGACATGTGCAACAAGTAAACTTAGGAGTGTTATACACCTGTTGCCATCTTGCCAATCCTTTCTAAAGATATGATCTTGATGTTTTCTATCTAGTTTAGAGGTTATGAACTAACAAACCAGAGACCCAAAGTAGCCACAGATATATTTGTTCCCTTTACTGTTTTAGAGTGCTAAAATGAACCTACTGCAGTTTAAAGATCTGAAGAGTGTGCATAAAAACTGGATTTTGCTTGTCTGGAACAATAAAGATCTGCTTAGATTATGTCCTTCTAGGACAACGATCAGCTGAGGCTGAGCAGTTGCTGCCCTTTAGACATGTGAAACACAGCTTGACAATCTTTACGGAACTGTTGATTTTTCTTTCAAGAACATGCGATTTGGACATTACCTTCCTGTAGGCACGCTGATGGGAGGAAGCAAAGCTGAGAAGGCCGCCTTGTGCCTTTGTCCATATCACCCCCATTCTCTTTGCTGAGCCAGCCATTGCTAGGGCTGGAATCCAACAGAGAGCAGGATTAGTAGAGACACAAGCCCCACCCCACAGCCTACAGTGTCCACGCTCACCATCCAAATAATGCACATTCCTGGCCTCCGCAGACATACTTAGCTGAACAAACATGCTGCATTTTTCTTTTGTCAATGGCCTTTTGCTCTGCCCACACGGGCGCTTAGGGAATAACAGCCTCCACAGGACACTGATGTGGGAGGAGAGGTTACAGAGAACAGTTAATGATAACAACAGTCACTTATGGCACAAAGTCAGCAGGAGCTTGGATCTTTTTTCCTGAATCTCTCTCAAACCATCCAGTGGTCATGGTCATAGCCTTTAACACATTGCTTTTTTTTTTTTTAAAGAAGTGCAAGCTCTGTTCAGATTTACATAGTTTTACATAAAGGTGTGGCCCTTGCCACTCTCTTAAGTATAGGACACTGATTTATAAAACCTTGGAAATCTTTAGCTTCAATGGGTATGAGTACACAGTACATCGGTTTGTTATAACTGAAGTCCACAAATATGGTATCCAAAAACTCCCATTCAGTTAGTTCCCTTTCATTTCTTACAGCTGCTAATGGCAAAATGATTACCTATCAAAGTAACAAGGATTATGGGCTATGTGAGGAATGGAATAGTACAAAGGAATCATTCAAAGGAGATCATTCTCTAAAGGTAGTAGAAATATGAAATCAAGGTAGTCTTAAGGATGAAGACACTCAGCAACTGAATCACACTCCTGGCCACCTCCAGTCCAGTTCAGTCGCCACCTGGTCTTCACTTCTGACTTGCATACAGAACAAAATGCTGCGCAGATGGCAAGAGCTCACAAGCATAAGTCACTTTCTAAGACCTGCCTCTTCCTGACAAGGATCCTGGAATGGGTCTGCATGTTTCCATACAGGAGACTGCTGTCAGGAACAAGTTGAAGAGCTTCTCTATGTTTGTTCCCCTCCAGGCACTACATGCAAAATTTCCCCCAAACTTGCATCTGGCATAAATTAGGGTGCTGTGATCAAGTTCCCAGATTCTCCTTTCCAAGCTCTATACTCATTCTGGATAGATCGATCAATCCTACTGCACTTCCTCTCACGTAACTTGCTTTCAGTGAACTTGCAGAATGGCAGAGGGGCCTCCTCAAGACTCTATTTAGACAATGGTTTTCCTCACTGAATATACAATGATTGCTTCTGCTCAAAACTAAATGGTGACAGTGATCATTATAGGAGGTAGTTTTTAAATTGTGTATTTTCTTTCTTAAACTTCAACTTCCCCAGCAGCTGGGGCTGTTCATTTTCTCAACTTTATTAAGAGGAAATCATAAATAGCGTTGGCTCTATGTACAGGAAAAACTAAACTTCAGAGAAGGAAGCAACTCGTCTTATTTATTTGGGATATAATGAAACTCAGGATAAAGAGTGGGAGTCCACGTGCAAGACATTCCAGTTGGAAACTTCAGGATTCCAGTTAGCACTATACCCCCTGACAAGAGTGAAAGGACAGGACAACTTTCAGCAGGTCTTCTGGCTCTGTCACTGATACTTAGAACTCCTTTTTTGTGGGGTTTGTGAAGGGTGCTGTGCAGATCCAATCCAGCAGCACTTCACCACTGAGCTACATTCCCAGCCCTTTTTGTTTTGAAACAGGGTCTCACTAAATTGCCCAGGCTGCCTTTGACCTTGCAACTCTCCTGCTTCAGCCTCCCGAGTAGCTGGGTTTACAGGACTTCATCCTGGCACAGCAGTATGTCTGGGATCCTGTTACTCACATTCAGTAGTCCAGGCTAATCATGGAGTTCTCAAGCTTTTTTCAGAATTGGGTCATCTAACAAGGAAAAGACCCAAATCCTTCTAATTGAATCCGAATGGCAGGGAATTTAGGAACCAATTCCTCACAAGAAGAGAACAGCAGTGGTGATCCAACAGTAGCTTTCCCAACTCATACATGATGATCTGCAAAATAGTGGTTCTAAACGCTTCTGAGAAAGATGCAGTCGGCACTGTTTCTTAGTCACTCACACTTGCAGGGTTAACAATTTGGTTAGTTCTTCACCTTTATGAGACTGCCCTAGTCCAATCATATTTTCTTGTTGCTAAATCCCACCCTCAGAGCTTCATTTCCTGTGTGTTGGAGCAAGTCCCCATGAACCAGGCTAACAGTTAACAACTATAAACTAAAAAAACAACAAAACACTGCCTGAAGGTACTGAGCAAAACCCAGGCAAATTCTGGAGAGAAGGTGAAACTTGAAAAAAGAGAATGGCACAGGGTGAGCTTTCCATATTTCTGGCTTTGGGGATGATAGGAAGCTGCAGTCTTTGTGAATGAAGTCAGAAGACACCACAGAAACAGCAACTAGATGCCAGAAAGTAACCGTGGAAATCAAAGGCCAGTTGGAGAAAAGTAAGTAGTGTCTCTAATTCTGTGTATCATCTTCACCCAAATCTTGGGTTCAGTCCTTGGGCTACGTGCGGGCCAGTCTCCAGCTAAATATAAAAGAACTGAATTGAAATTTGAGTTGTGGCCCACGAGTTGCTTTATAAGTCAAGTCCAATAAAGTTAAATGTCAAAGGCTATAAATTAAGAACTCAGCAATCCTCAGAAGAATATAAGCTAATCCACAACACAAACATTTACAATGCTTAGGACTTGATCTAAAATTACTCAATATACAAGGGGTCAAACCAAACCAAACCAAATCAAAACAACTGACATAGTCTACAAAGAAAAGATAAACAGTGTAGGCTACTTTTGAGATTATTCACATGTTGTCTTTACCAGAAAAGGATTTGAAGTAGTTACTATAACCATGTTCAATGAAGGAAAACAAATTTATAGTGCATAAAAAAAGCAATCTCAATAGAGAAACAGAATTAAGAGGAAAGTATGTACTAGAAGATAAAATATCCAAAATTAGTCTTTGCCTCCATTTCAGAAATACCTCTTAAATTTCCTACATTCCTTCACTTCTCTCTTCTGTGGTCCTTTTGCTTTTGGAACTGGGTTACTTTAGAACTGGAAAGAGACTGACTTACCTTTGGCTCTCCTACAAAGGTACAAGTCAGATCCACAGTTACTAATGTGATGACAAGAGAGGCAGGAACAGCCCAGTAACTCATACTCGAAGCTACCTCTGTTTAGTAGAAGATTCTGTTCAGAATAAGTTTTTTTCCTTTGGTAGTATTGGGGATTAAAGGTGGAGCCTTGCACATGCAAGGAAGAAGCTCTACCACTGAGCTGCATACTCAGACCTTTAGAAAATTTTACTTTGACACGGAGTCTAAGTTGCCCCACCCAAGCTGCAATGAGTCTGCCTCAGGCTTTTGGGCAGCTTGGGAGGACATGCTTGCAATAGCACTCCCTGATTTTCAGTGTTTATTTATTCAACAACTAAATGGCAAATTCCTTACTGATAGTGTTGGTAGCTATTTTTACTCTTTGGGAAGGTCTGACTTGAGAGGTAGAAAGAATT